TGAGAGCCCAGGCTGAAGCCCACAGCCTTGGCTTCTGACCTCTGAGCTGCGTATCACTGGGCAGCGCCTTGGCCTGTAGAGTAAAACGTCAGGGTGTGTATTCCGTGCCCGGCACACACACTCAGCCACAGCAACAGTCTGCCTTTCTGACTGAAGGCTGTCAGCCTTGCAAGCTCCCGCTTCCTGCCAGGGTTCACTTGGTCATTCTTTGGTTCCACAGCACATCCTGTGCACAGACACTGCAGGGGCTTCCTTGGGGCTGAGCATGGAGCTGGGGGCATGCTGTGCAGTAGAAGGTTCTGGGATGATGGGAGTGCTCTGTGTCTGTGTGGTCTGGGCTGTAGCCACTTGCCAAGTGCGGCTGTTGAGCACACATGTGGCTTGTGCAGTCACGTCCATGGCCTGTTGCTACGTAACAGAGTCCCCAGAACTTAGGAGCGAAAAACCAGGCTGCTGCTTTGAAGTCTCCACCAGCCCCTGAGTTTCTGAGGTGGAGGGTGGCAGCACCCTGAGGTAGGGTGTGTCACCTGTGGACCTTCGCAGCTGTCTCGGGGCAAAGAGGAGGAGGAGCCTTCTCATCTAGGAGAGTTCTGCCTTCCTCTTTCGCCTTCAGCCCCCTAGGTACAAAGTCCTGGAATCCTCATATGAACGTAAGATAGGAACGTTGGTTCCCCGTGGGAGGAGTGCAATCAGGGTAGGGCAGGAGCCATTGGGACCCCAGATGACCTGGGCCTTCCACCCTGCACGCTTCAGGCCAACCATCACATCCACTCGGAAGAAACAAGTGGCCGGAAAGCAGACGACCTCCAAGATCCTGGTGCGCAACATCCCCTTCCAAGCCGACAGCCGGGAGATCCGAGAGCTCTTCAGGTGAGGAGCGCAGGTTTTGTCTCGCAGACCCGTGGGTGGGTGGAGAAGCTACTGGAGCTCTGGGGACGGTGGCCTTCAGGCCCTGAGTGGTTCTGGTAAAGGCCAGTGCAGTGGTCTTTAAAAGGTCATCGTTTGGCTACCTTTGATTTATCACCCTTAATCTCAGAGGCTGCACCACAGAACACTGGACAGGAAAGTCCACACAGCCAGCCTGCCTCCTCTGAGTGCAGGCAGTCTCTACCCCTGTCCCCAGCCTTGGGGAAAGAGGGTCAGGAGCCACAGGGGCTAGGAGCCACCTCCCCACCGGCCAGCCTGACATTCTCCACCATCAGACTCACTCCTTTGGTTTAAGCCAGCGACTCTCTGTCTTCACTGCTCGTTTGAATCATCTGGGACTTGAAAAAACCCTGGTGGCACAGTGGTTAAGCACTTGGTTGCTAACCTAAAAGTTGGCTTTTCAAACCCACCCGGTAGCTCCCTGGGAGAGAGCCCTGGTGATCTGCTCCCAGAAGGATCATTATTGTTTGGGACGCTATCGAGCTGATTTCCAACTCATAGCAACCCCACGTGACAGAGTGGATTCGCCTCACGGGTTCATAGGCTGAGATCATCCTAAGATTTACAGCAATGACCTGTGCTGCCACTCCACCCCCAGAGAGCTTTACTCCCTTGTCAGGTTTGGAACCAGACGTTGGTATTTGGATAAAAGTTCCCCAGGGGAGTCAAACCGCCAGCCTGAGGCACAGTGGTCCCAGGTGCTGACAATGGAGAGCCCCTTTTGAAATGAGGGTGCATTTACTACAGCACAGGGGTACTCTACTGGGGACAGGCAGGTGATTGACACGCTGAGAGTCGCTGGGGGCCTCTGCCCGGTGAGCTACCTGGCAGGCATGTGGATTTCACAGACCGGGCCTTGAGTGTTTCTAAAAGAGAAACTGACATTCTGGATTCTTGGGGAGATGAGTCGACAGTCTTTCACTTTTTGACAGCAAACAGCACAGGATAGTCTGTGGGCCAGATACTGCCCGGGGACCACTCCTTGCCACCGTGTTGCGCCAATGCCATTTGGTTTTTCTTTTCTAGTTAGTTGTCAGCCAGCCCTGCGCCCAGAGGGAAAGACGAGTCTTTATGAAGGGCACAGAGGAAACAGTTTCCAGTCAGGGCATGCCCTGGCCATGCCGCCTGGATGGAGAGACCTGCCAGCCCTCGGAGTGCACAGCACAGGCACTTAGCTCCAGCTAAGCCGATCACTGAGGCCTGGCCGGCGTCTAGGAGGGTTCTGGGGTGAAATTTTAGGGTATCACATACTAGGGTTCGTCCCCCCACCTGTGTCTGTCAGTCTCTGGCCTGGAGATTGGGCAGGGAAGTCCTTAATGGAGTTACCAGTTAGCAGTTCAGGAGGTAGAAAGTGGATGCCAAGTGATCCTGTATTATGAACTTACGAATCATCTTGGTGTGACTCCTACCCTCTCACTCTCACTTGGTGGGTTAAAGACTGAGAAGCCATTTGAGGAATTTACTTCAAAAATCCATCTCCCCTCTTTCTTCTGACCTTTCACCCTTTACCGGCATACAGCTCGTTAATGGGCCGGGTTGGTGGGATGCTGACACAGACACCCAGGCCCGGCTGGGTTCTCAGTTGCAGGGCTCTCAGAGCACTCCCCAGGACCCTGGGCGGCCTTAACAGCTTGAGGAGGAGGGCTGGCGACCCGGGGCACGTATCCAGCCCCCTGCACCAGGTAGATCCATCAGGAGGAATACACGTGGTGGTTCTCGTGGGCATCTGCTCGTGGCAACGTGCGTTTGCTTTTTCAACAGCGTCCAGTTTCAGAACTGCCAGATGCAAAGGGGCTCGCAAAGGAAGTACCATCCCGCTGGAGTGACAGTTCTGCTGGGTTCCGCGGTGTGTTTAGGGTGCCACTGAGCCAGGGAAACGAGACCACGGTGGGAAGGGAAGCGCACTTTGTTTGATCTTGCGTGTCATATTTATTTTAGAAGACAGGGAATTAGTGTCCATCAGCCCCATGGTAGTTTTTGTAAACCCATGCAAGGGAAACCCTTTGGGGTGTTCCTACCTCGCTTTTGTTGTTCACTCCGGCTGGGGCAGTTCCCAGTGGCAGCCAGCAGGGAGCGCTGTGAGCCTTCTCAGGGAGACAAATCTTATCCAAGGGAAGCCAACAGCTGGTGTTACAGACAGAGCTGCTGGCCAGCACCAGTAGTTAACTAGGGGAAGATTTTGGGGTGTAGGGAAGCCAGTTTCATCCACTTTGCTGGGCAGGTTTTGAGAAGTCTTCCTATCGGGTAATAAACACCACAGCTCCCTTTCTCAGAGCATTGGCCAGATGTCAGGTTCTGTGCTGGGTACTTTGCATTATCATCTTTGAGCCTCAGCGGACCAGGAGGGAGGGATGCCGTCACCCCTGCTGCCCCCAGAAGACGACTCAGGGAGACGCACTGTCTAGCCTGCAGCTGCACAGTGGACAAGGAAGGGTTGGAATTGAAGTTCATCTGACCCAGAGCCTTGATCCTGAATGGCTCCTCCCCTCTGTCGTCATGTGTGGTTCTCCATATCTGGAAGGAGCCATTGTCCCCCACCTCAGTTCTGCTGAACCACTGTACCACATGTGTTGCGTAGCCCAGGCCTGCGCCAGGCATCCGGCCGTTTCAGGAGCGACAGTCTTCTATCATGGGCTCTCTTGTCTGAGTTGGCACAAGGGCAGGGGATGGAGGAGAGCACAGTCAGGGTTCTAGAGACTGACCACGGGGAGCAGTAGCTCACCTGCCTCACCTACCCTCTGGAACCTGGCAGGTGAGCTGGGACAGCAGCTTCCTGGCCTAAGACGGAAGTTGTTACTGTCCTTCGCTGGTATCGTGTCAGCTCCAAATCACGGTGACCCCCCACACACACAGTGGAGCAAAAACCACCTGGTTCTGCATCATCCCCACGGTTGGGTGCAGGACGGGCTCTTGTGACACACTGGGCTTTCAGAAGTAGGCCACCAGGCCTTCCTTCCTAGTCTGTCTGAGTCTGGAAGCTCCACTGAAACCTGTTCAGCATCCTAGCCAGTGACAAATTTCCACTGACAGAGATGTGTGTTTGTACGTGAATGTGCATTCATGTACACATATATGTATATATGGACATATGCGTTTATATGTGTTAGTATGTATGTGTGGAAAGGAGCTCTAGTGGCGTAGTGGATAAGGCATTTGGCTGCTAACCAGGAGGTCAGTGGTTCAAACCCACCAGCTGCTCCGAGAAGGAAGATAGAGCAGTCTACTTCCATAAAGATTTACAGCCTTAGAAACCCAGTGGGGGTCGCTATGAGTTACAGCCAACTCAATGGCAGAGAGTTTGGTTTGACAAGTTTGAGTATATATGGAAGGACCCCTGGTGGTGCAACAGTTTACCACTCAGCTGCTTAATACCTGAAAGGTTGGTGGTTCAAACCCACCAGCAGCTCTGCAGGAGAAAAGACCTGTCAGTCCGCTCCCATTAAGGTGCCAGCTGTGGAAACCCTGTAGGGCAGGGCTACTCTGTAGGGCAGGGCTACTCTGTCCTGTAGGGTCTCTGTGAGTCGGAATCAATTCGAGAGCACCACCCCCAGTGTTACCTACCCTCTCCCCTCAGCTGGTTCTGGGCCCAAGAGAGTCTGTAAGTGAAGTGAAAACAAAACGTCCACAACTTAGAAATGTCAGTTTCAGGTGGTAATGGTAGTATAGCTCACGTCCACAGTGCAGTGAGATTAGGGATGCCCAGTCTGGAGCTGGTTTGCTGAGTTCATATCCCAGCTCTGCCACTCAGGAAGCTGTGTGACCTAGGGCAGGTTACTTAACCTCTCTGTGCCTCT